AGACAGTTGAGGACGAATTCGTAATTACTAGATACGCTCTAAATAAGTTGTAAGATGATACGCTGTGTGACTGGAGACTATCGGTCCAACTATTGACTATTTGCGTCATTCTGTAAGTGTATTCGCTTCTGATTTACAGATGAAGTTCTTACTGCTGTTGGCTTTGGCTGCTGTGGCTGCTGGGGATCACTCCTTCGGCGGACAAAGGCATTTCCATGGGCACTTCCCTCATATCGGGCATGGCTTCAGACATGCCGCCGTCCACCGCCCCGTGCGACCCGTGGCACCTGTGCGACCTGTGGTGCACCAGCCGGCTCCCGCGCCCCCGGTGAGTCTTCGGACACTTCTGGTGTGGCAGAATTTCCTTAAATAGGAATATTCAAGGATGATAAAAGTAAATGCTTCATCACGAGCGAGATTGTTCCCACTTACCCGAGTCGATTTCCTTTACCAGAATATCCTCCCCTCAAATCAAATCTACCAGACTAATGACAAAATATTTTCGCTTTAACTTCAGGTGCATCGAGGCCGAACTGGACCTGCGGTGCCACCGGTAGCTGCCTCGGGCGTCCCGGTGAGTGTCGAAGCCCCTGACGCTGCGTTCAGGACTGCTTTCGCACCTTGGAATGACTAGTATATAAGCATGTAATGAGGTCCTTCATCTAACCTTTAGAATCAATCCTTGTTTTCCTTTTGAGTTAAATCATTCCCGCTGTCGATATCGATTAAGGAAATCTACCCTAACATCAAACATTCTTTGCCCACCCACAACAATGGCGGTTCGGCTCACTTCAGGTGGACGACAGGCAGGGCGACAGCGAATACCACTTCTCGTGGCGCCATGACGGCCGCAAGACCTACACGTGGGATGGCGCCAACCAGTACTGCGGCAACCTTGGCTCCGGCTGGCAGGGCATCAGCATCGGGACTCAGCAGGAGGACAGTCTCGTCAGGAAAGCGATTATAGGAGGTAACATTTCAAGCTGATCCTCTCTGTGTTGTGGGATTCAGACTCGAACCTTGAAGGGTCCATGCTCGAGTCCACGAAGGTATGTGTACACGTTTACTAAATGTGTGCATTTTTATTCTTCTTTCTAGATCGCCTACCATGGATTTGGACCTCAGGTCATATCAGGAACCACGGCTTCGCCTGGGCTTCAGGTGAAGAATTCGTGGGTCTGAACTGGTCTCACACCGGCGGGTAAGTGCCTCCTGGATTTTCCTTCTATTCAGACATGTCCAAAGGCTACATTTTGCCGGAAACTCTTCTAACTCGTACCAATGTGATCACCAGGAGTCATCGACCACAACCAGACAACCGAGAGGGGAACGAGCATTGCCTGGGGGTTCTCAACGACTTCTACGACGACGGCGTCAAGTGGCACGACATCGCCTGCCACCACGACAAGGCCATCATCTGCGAGCGCAAAGTCCGAGTTCACGGATGAACACAAATACACATGCATGCAGGAGCACATGCACACTGCTTTCATGTAGCATGATCACATCCATATGACCTAGAAAAAAGGATCATACACTGTATTTATTCCTATTTATATTTGACTATAGATAAATTTCATGACCAACCATAGCATCACTTTTGTTTCCCTGATTTTGACCAAGAAGTTACTTTCCCATATAAAGAACACATTACAGAGGGTGAGGCACCGAGAGCCGACACACCTCAGCTCCAGTCCCTGATGATGTTAGATGTTAGTTTGTGTTTGTGTTTTCCTTCGTGTGTGGGAGGGACAGCAGTAGAATGCCAGGAGAGGTCCCATTAGAAGGCTAAAGAGGCGCCACTAGAAGGGCAGAAGGGGCGCCATTAGAAAGGGTGAGGGGACACCATTAGAAGAGTGGAAGAGACACCATTAGAAGGCTTAAGTGGCACCATTGGAAGGTCAGGAGGGGCACCATTAGAAGGGCGATGAGGCATCATTAGAAGGCTCAAGAGGCACCAATGGAAAGGCAGAAAGGGTGCCATTAGAAGGGGAAGGAACACCATTAGAAGGGTAGAATGGGCACCGTTGGAAAGGCAGAAGGGGCGCCGTTAGACGGAGAACTGGGCACCTTGTGCTGTTTGGCGCAGCGGTAGCGTCCTCGCCTGGCAATCTAATTTACCTGCGTTCGATTAACGCGCCGTCAGTGGGTGATAACACCGGCCATTTCTTGCACAAAAGGGGTAGTTTAGAAGCACAATAAACACGCAAGCCACAGTTTGCCTGAAGTCATAAGTGCCTATCACAGCAAACCCTAAATTATCATTATCTTTATTATCATTAGCAGGGCAGATGGAGCACCATTAGAAAGGGTGAAAGGGCACCATTAGAAGGGCTAAAGGAGAATCAGAAGGAAGGAGGAAGAAAGGGAGAAGGAAAAGGAAGAAGTGACAGGTATTATAAGAAGCAGAACAAAATCAGGAGGAAGTAAAAGGAAAGAAGGAAGGAAGAAGGAGAAGAAAGGAAAAGGAGACGGCATTTAAAGTTGCTAAAAACATCAATATAAAACAGAATTTGCTTGAGAAAATTAAAAACAGAAATGGAGAAATGTTGAACAAAAGAGTAAATGGTATAATGGATTAAGAGTTCCAGTTAAATCTTGGAGACGGAAGTACTAGAAAAAAGTCCAATAATTTCCTTCAGGTATCTAAGAAAGTTCCCGAAAAGACCAAGGAGGTTCTGAGAAAAAAAATCTCAAATGTCACCATAGAATTTAGATAAGAAATTTTGCATGCAGTTCTGTAGGAGAAAATTGACAAAAAATCCTGGAAAATCACCGGAAAAAGTTTCAGAAATTAGAGTATCAGAACAGATTCGAGAAAGTTTCAGCGTAGGAAGTATGTGCATATATATCTATATAAATATATACAGATACAAATATTCATATTCATGCATACTTGTATATTTGAAAGAAAAAAATATGCATACATTAGATGAAAAGAGTAATGAAAAAAATCCAAAGAATGTCAAGTTGAGGCATTTAAATATCTCTTTTTAAAAGGAATATGTATTGCTTTGTTTTTTTCTTTATTTATTTCCCATCAAGTTCCTTTTGCCGCTACGGAATGAAGGGCAAACAGGAGAAAAATCACTTAGATGAGTGACTTTCACCTCAGAGCAAAGCAAGAGCAAAAGCTGCATATAAAAGGGCGGATCTGCTTGCAGTCGACACATTCGCTCGTCCGCTGAGCATGGTAGGCCGGCCGGGCGCTGGGGAAGATCACGCGTCTGAACACTTTTACGTTTAGACGAAATACTTTGGTAGACGGGGCGTGTGTTGTGATTGAGGAGTCGATAGTGGTTTGTGAATTGAGTGTGAAGTGTGAAAAGACAGTTGAGGACGAATTCGTAATTACTAGATACGCTCTAAATAACCTGTAAGATAATTCGCTGTGTGACTGGAGACTATCGCTCCAACTATTGACTATTTGCGTCATTCTGTAAGTGTATTCGCTTCTGATTTACAGATGAAGTTCTTACTGCTGTTGGCTTTGGCTGCTGTGGCTGCTGGGGATCACTCCTTCGGCGGACACGGGCATTTCCATGGGCACTTCCCTCATGTTGGGCATGGACACTTCCCTCATGTTGGGCATGGCTTCAGACATGCCGCCGTCCACCGCCCCGTGCGACCCGTGGCACCTGTGCGACCTGTGGTGCACCAGCCGGCTCCCGCGCCCCCGGTGAGTCCTCGGACACTTCTGGTGTGGCAGAATTTCCTCAAATAGGAATATTCAAGGATGATAAAAGTAAATGCTTCATCACGAGCGAGATTGTTCCCGCTTACCTGAGTCGATTTCCTTTACCAGAATATCCTCCCCTCAAATCAAATCTACCAGACTAATGACAAAATATTTTCGATTGAACTTCAGGTGCATCGAGGCCGAACTGGACCTGCGGTGCCACCGGCAGCTGCCTCGGGCGTCCCGGTGAGTGTCGAGGCCCCTGACGCTGCATTCAGGACTGCTTTCGCACCTTGAAATGACTAGTATATAAGCATGTAATGAGGTCCTTCATCTAACCTTTAGAATCAATCCTTGTTTTCATTTTGAGTTAAATCATCCCCGCTGTCGATATCGATTAAGGAAATCTCTCCTAACATCAAACATTCTTTGCCCACCCACAACAATGGCGGTTCGGCCCACTTCAGGTGGACGACAGGCAGGGCGACAGCGAATATCACTTCTCGTGGCGCCATGACGGCCGCAAGACCTACACGTGGGATGGCGCCAACCAGTACTGCGGCAACCTTGGCTCCGGCTGGCAGGGCATCAGCATCGGAACTCAGCAAGAGGACAGTCTCGTCAGGAAAGCGATTATAGAAGGTAACATTTCAAGCTGATCTTCTCTGTTGTGTTGTGGGATTCAGACCCAAACCTTGAAGGCTCGAGACTCGAGTCCACGAAGGTATGTGTACACGTTTACTAATTGTGTGCATTTTTATTTTCTTTCTAGATCGCCTACCATGGATTTGGACCTCAGGTCATATCAGGAACCACGGCTTCGCCTGGGCTTCAGGTGAAGAATTCGTGGGTCTGAACTGGTCTCACACCGGCGGGTAAGTGCCTCCTGGCTTTTCCTTCTATTCAGACATATCCAAAGGCTACATTTTGCCGGAAACTCTTCTAACTCGTACCAATTTGATCACCAGGAATCATCGACCACAACCAGACAACCGAGAGGGGAACGAGCATTGCCTGGGGGTTCTCAACGACTTCTACGACGACGGCGTCAAGTGGCACGACATCGCCTGCCACCACGACAAGGCCATCATCTGCGAGCGCAAAGTCCGAGTTCACGGATGAACACAAATACACATGCGTACAGGAGCACATACACACTGCTTTCATGTAGCATGATCACGTCCATATGACCTAGAAAAAAGGATTATACACTGTATTTATTCCTATTTATATTTGACTTTAGATAAATTTCCTGACCAACTATAGCATCACTTTTGTTTCCCTGATTTTGACCAAGAAGTTACTTTCCAATATAATGAACATGAGCACAGAGGGTGAGGCACCGAGAGCCGACACACCTCAGCTCCAGTCCCTGATGATGTTAGATGTTAGTTTGTGTTTGTGTTTTCCTTCGTGTGTAGTAGAACGCCAGGAGAGGTCCCATTAGAAGGCTAAAGAGGCGCCACTAGAAGCGCAGAAGGGGCGCCATTAGAAAGGGTGAGGGGACACCATTTGAAGAGTGGAAGAGACACCATTAGAAGGCTTAAGTGGCACCATTGGAAGGTCAGGAGGGGCACCATTAGAAGGGCGATGAGGCATCATTAGAAGGCTCAAGAGGCACCAATGGAAGGCAGAAAGGGTGCCATTAGAAGGGGAAGGAACACCATTAGAAGGGTAGAATGGGCACCATTGGAAAGGCAGAAGGGGCGCCATTAGACGGAGAACTGGGCACCTTGTGCTGTTTGGCGCAGTGGTAGCGTCCTCGCCTGGCAATCTAATTTACCTGCGTTCGATTACCGCGCCGTCAGTGGGTGATAACACCGGCCATTCCTTGCATAAAAGGGATAGTTTAGAAGCACAATAAACACGCAAGCCACAATTTGCCTGAAGTCATAAGTGCCTATCACAGCAAACCCTAAATTATCATTATCTTTATTATCATTAGCAGGGCAGATGGAGCACCATTAGAAAGAGTGAAAGGGCACCATTAGAAGGGCTAAAGGAGAATCAGAAGGAAGGAGGAAGAAAGGGAGAAGGAAAAGGAGCAAGGGGATCAAAAGAAGGAAAAGAAAGAAGTGACAGGTATTATAAGAAGCAGAACAAAATCAGGAGGAAGTAAAAGGAAAGAAGGAAGGAAGAAGGAGAAGAAAGGAAAAGGAGACGGCATTTAAAGTTGCTAAAAACATCAATATAAAACAGAATTTGCTTGAGGAAATTAAAAACAGAAATGGAGAAATGTTGAACAAAAGATAAATATCAAGAGTTAGGGAAGCCAATAGAAAAAATGAATAATAAGTATATGGTTTAGAGAATTAATGAGTTAAACACCGGGCTCCCCAAATAGGCATAGCCCGGGCGAGGCTCTGCTTCGCGAATCTTAAAAAAAAAAAAAAAAAAAAAAAAAAAAAAAAAAAAAAAAAAAAAAAAAAATGAGTTAAATTTTGGAGACGGAAGTTCTAGGAAAGCTCCAATAACTTCCTGCAGGTATCTAAGAAAGTTCCCGAAAAGTTCAAGGAGGTTCTGAGGAAAAGAAATCTCAAATTTTACCATAGAATTTAGATAAGAAATTTTGCAGGTAGATCTGAAGGAGAAAATTAACAGAAAATCCTGGAAAATCACCGGGAAAAGTTCCAGAAATTGGATTATCAGAACAGATTCGAGAAAGTTTCAGCGTAGGAAGTATGTGTATTTATATCTATATAAATATATACAGATACAAATATTCATATTCATGCATACACTTGTATATTTGAAAGAAAAAAAATATACATACATTTTATAAAAAGAGTAATGGGAAAAAAAATCCAAAGAACGTCAAGTTGAGGCATTTAAATATCTTTTTTTAGAAGGCATATGTATTTTGTTTTTTTCTTTATTTATTTCCCATCAAGTTCCTTTTGCCGCTACGGAATGAAGGGCAAACAGGAGAAAAATCACTTAGATGAGTGACCTTCACCTCAGAGCAAAGCAAGAGCAAAAGCTGCATATAAAAGGGCGGCTCTGCTTGCAGTCGACACATTCGCTCGTCCGCTGAGCATGGTAGGTCGGCCGGGCGCTGGGGAAGATCACGCTGGGGAAGATGAAATGTTTTGGTAGACGAGGCGTGTATTGTGATTGAGGAGTCGATAGTGGTTTGTGAATTGAGTGTGAAGTGTGAAAAGACAGTTGAGGACGAATTCGTCATTACTTATCTATTGCACTTTATCCAGACGCGCTCTAAATAAGTTGTAAGATGATACGCTGTGTGACTGGAGACTATCGCTCCAACTATTGACTATTTGCGTTATTCTGTAAGTGTATTCGCTTCTGATTTACAGATGAAGCTCTTACTGCTGTTGGCTTTGGCTACTGTGGCTGCTGGGGATCACTCCTTCGGCGGACACGGGCATTTCCATGGCCATTTCCCTCATGTTGGGCATGGACACTTCCCTCATGTTGGGCATGGCTTCAGACATGCCGCCGTTCACCGCCCCGTGCGACCCGTGGCACCTGTGCGACCTGTGGTGCACCAGCCGGCTCCCGCGGCCCTGGTGAGTCCTCGGACCCTTCTGGTGTGGCAGGATATCGTCAAATAGGAATATTCAAGGATGATAAAAGTAAATGCTTCGTCATAACGAGCGAGATTGTTCCCACTTGCCTGAGTCGATTTCCTCTATCAGAATATCCCCCCATCAAATCAAATCTAATAGACTAATGACAAAATATTTTCGCTTGAACTTCAGGTGCATCGAGGCCGAACTGGACCTGCGGTTCCACCGGCAGCAGCCTCGGGCGTCCCGGTGAGTGTCGAGGCCCCTGACGCTGCGTTCAGGACTGCTTTCGCACCTTGAAATGACTAGTATATAAGCATGTAATGACGAAGTCCTTCCTCTAACCTTTAGAATCAATCCTTGTTTTCATTTTGAGTTCATTCCCGCTGTCGATATCGATTAAGGAAATCTCCCCTAGCATCAAACATTCTTTGCCCACCCACAACAATGGCGGTTCGGCTCACTTCAGGTGGACGACAGGCAGGGCGACAGCGAATACCACTTCTCGTGGCGCCATGACGGCCGCAAGACCTACACGTGGGATGGCGCCAACCAGTACTGCGGCAACCTTGGCTCCGGCTGGCAGGGTATCAGCATCGGGACTCAGCAGGAGGACAGTCTCGTCAGGAAAGCGATTATAGAAGGTAACATTTCAAGCTGATCCTCTCTGTTGTGTTGTGAGGTTCAGACCCGAACCTTGAAGGGTCCATGCTCGAGTCCAAGAAGGTATGTGTACACATTTGCTAAATGTGTGCATTTTTATCTTCTAGATCGCCTACCATGGATTTGGACCTCAGGTCATATCAGGAACCACGGCTTCGCCTGGGCTTCAGGTGAAGAATTCGTGGGTCTGAACTGGTCTCACACCGGCGGGTAAGTGCCTCGAGGCTTTTCCTTCTACTCAGACATATCCAGATGCTTTTATTTTGCCGGAAACTCTTCTAACTCGTACCAATGTGATCACCAGGAATCATCGACCACAACCAGACAACCGAGAGGGGAACGAGCACTGCCTGGGGGTTCTCAACGACTTCTACGACGACGGCGTTAAGTGGCACGACATCGCCTGCCATCACGACAAGGCCATCATCTGCGAGCGCAAATTCCGAGTCCACGGATGAACATAAATACACAGATACAGACATACATACGTATAAGTATATATATTCATATGCAGACATATGATAAGCCCAATGCTAACTTATTTATAAACACTGTATGAATCTAAGTATTATGTTTTATTGCCATTTTCGAATTACCAGAATTGGAATAAAGCGAACCAAAAGTAAGTCTTCTAAATTGATCATATTTATATTGTTTGAAATAAAGTTTTCGAACACCATATTTACTGACATTTTTCCTCTCCGTTCTTAGTCACCAGATATATTCCAATGAAATAAGAGCACTTGTACGAATGCGTTCACTGAACTCTACCTGCATTGAGTTTTATGTTTGTGTATGTGTGGACAATGTTCACGCATACACATACATACATATATACATATATGTGTATATGTATATGTATAGGTATATATATTAGATGTAGAATTTGGTTTAAGGATGACCAGTCCTTCAGTGTTTATATTAGCTCTTCTTTACTTGAAGATATTACTTAACACGACCTAAGTAATCAGTTATGTATTAGATAATTATCTCTCACATTATTGCAGACTGTGTGGGTGTATTGCTGGTGATTTTAGTCTTTGGATAAGATTCACTTAGATATACTTTGCTACTGACCAAAATCTAGAAGATTTAGAGTATACTAATCTAACACAAAATTTAAAGTATATTCACCCAAGAGTTATTGAGATAATTATAAATGGCATTCGATATCAACAACATAACTAAGATCATACGTTTTCTCTGTAAGCAGTCTATAATAAAACTTATTTCTGAAGAACTAGAGGCAAGGTTTAAGTAAAATATTTGTACTAATTAAGAACATAACTAATTCATACTAAGATATTTATACTAACCTGTCGTTAGAGGGACAATTCCAGTGCTGTTTACTGTAAATGCACCCATGTGTGCTTATAATACATACATACATAAATTCATATGTGTGTGGAGATATATATATATATAGATATATATATATATATAGATATATATATATATATATCTATATATATATATATTATATATATATATATATTATATATATAATATATATATATATATGTGTGTGTGTGTGTGTGCGTGTGTGTGCGTATATGTGTACTTATATATATATATATATATAGATATATATATATATAGATATATATATATATAGATATATATATATATAATATATATATATATAGATATATATATATATATCTATATATATATATATAGATATATATATATATATAGATATATATATATATAATATATATATATATATCTATATATATATATATATCTATATATATATATATCTATATATATATATATAATATATATATATATAATATATATATATATATATATAGATATATATATATATATATCTATATATATATATATCTATATATATATATATAGATATATATATATATATATATTATATATATATCGTATATGTGCGCGCGCACGCGCGACTCTGAATTCCCTACAGCGAAGGCGAGCAGAGAAATTGGATACGGTAGCTGGGCTTGTTTGTTTATATGAATTCGTATATATATATATATATATATATATATATATATATATATATATATATATATGTATATATACATATATATTTACATATATATGTATTGTATATATGTACTCATATGTATACTCATACATAAATACTCATATATATATATGTGTGTGTGTGTGTGTGTGCGTGTGTGTGCGTATATGTGTACATATATATGTATATATATATGTACATATACACATATATGTGTGTGGGGGTGGGGGGGAGGGTGTGTGTGTGTAGGGGGCTGAGCTTGTGTGTGTCCATGCATATATATATATATATAATGTATATATATAAGATAGATATATACGTATATATAGATATTCACATACATTATACATATATAATATATATATATATATATGTGTGTGTGTGTGTGTGTATGTATTTATATGTATATCGTATATGTATAATGTATGTGTGTATCTGTGTATATATTGTATATACATTATATATATATATATAATGTATATATAAGATAGTTATATACATATATATACAGATACACACATTCGTTATACATATATGATATATATATATATATATATATATATATATATATATATATATAAATATATATATATATATATATATATATATATATATATATTTATATAACAGGCACGCTGGCCGAAGGCTATTAGACCCATGCGTGGTAGGCCGCTGGGCTGATCAGGGAAATAGAATATATAAATATAAACTGATGGAAATGTCTCACAGTGAATTGAAGACAGACTGAAACGAAAGAGGAACGCGCATTACCTGATCAGTGAAGATGACATATTAATTGATGATTATCATTACCCAAAAGTAAAACCAGGAAGCTGTAGTCTCTGCCACTGCGCATCAAACATTCTGACTGCAAAAACATCTTGCAAAGAGGGACTCTAATCCGCCAACTCCCCTTATCAACACATGCTTAACCGTCAAAATATTCTCTAAACCAGTAAAGCAATCTTCAACACAACACTTTGTGAAGCTGTATACCGCAGGATAGTAAATGGAATTGGCTCATCACCCTCCACAGCAAATATCATCCCTGTAAACATATAAGGATCAAAACCTTATCAAACGTGACACAGAATCTACATTTCCAATATTCTGCAAATTCTCTCGAACATAGCTTACATTAGCGACAGATTTTTTTTCTTTTTTTCTTCAATTTAAGTTTATTACAATTTGCAGATATGTGACAAGCATCATTACAAAAGCAACAGCTTTTAAATCTAACTGCATTGCTGCCATAAGATTTAAAATCTTTCACATCATATTTACTTACAACAGTTTGACCAACATCTCAAAACCTACCACC